GCGTTGGGTGACGGAGGCTTGTAGCTGACCCGCTCACACACTCATATACTCACGCGCTCACACGAGAGTGTACTGTACTATTGTGGATGATGATGATGATGATGATGCGCTGCATACGTTTGGTTTGTGTTGCTTTTTGTGTTTTGTTGCTGTTGGGAACCACCATTTGACATGACATGACATGACATGACATGGCATGACGTTGCGGCTGAATGCGCAACTACAACTTTGTTGCTGCGTGGAACGTGTGACTGAAAAGCCTGTACGTTGACTCGCAGCCTGCACATGCGTAGATGTGTGTGTGTAGATGTGTGTGTTGTGATTGTCCGTTGTGATTGTCCGTTGTGCATGGTGTTGTGCTGAGGAAGGTGATGGGAGTGTGTGGTATGTGTTTGTGTTGGTTTGTGTTGTTGTTGTTGTTGTGGTTGAGCGAGGTTTGTTTGCGCAATTGAGTACTTGGGTGCATGTGTTGTGGACTCTGTTGGTGACAAGTGTTGTGAGTTTGCGTTGGGTGACGGAGGCTTGTATCTGACCCGCTCACACACTCATATACTCACGCGCTCACACGAGAGTGTACTGTACTATTGTGGATGATGATGATGATGATGGTGCGCTGCATACGTTTGGTTTGTGTTGCTTTTTTGTGTTTTGTTGCTGTTGGGAACCACCATTTGACATGACATGACATGACATGACATGGCATGACGTTGCGGCTGAATGCGCAACTACAACTTTGTTGCTGCGTGGAACGTGTGACTGAACAGCGAGTACGTTGACTCGCAGCCTGCACATGTGTTGATGTTTGTGTTGATGTGTGTGTTGTGATTGTCCGTTGTGATTGTCCGTTGTGCATGGTGTTGTGCTGAGGAAGGTGATGGGAGTGTGTGGTGTGTGTTTGTGATGGTTGGTGTTGTTGTTGTTGTTGTGGTTGAGCGAGGGTTGTTTGCGCAATTGAGTGCTTGGGTGCATGTGTTGTGGACTCTGTTGGTGACAAGTGTTGTGAGTTTGCGTTGAGTGACGGATGCTTGTAGCTGACCCGCTCACACACTCATATACTCACGCGCTCACACGAGAGTGTACTGTACTATTGTGGATGATGATGATGATGATGACGATGATGATGATGATGTGTTGCTTTTTGTGTTTTGTTGCTGTTGGGAACCACCATTTGACATGACATGACATGACACGACATGACGTGGCATGGCATGACGTTGCGGCTGAATGCGCAACTACAACTTTGTTGCTGCGTGGAACGTGTGACTGAACAGCGAGTACGTTGACTCGCAGCCTGCACATGTGTTGATGTTTGTGTTGATGTGTGTGTTGTGATTGTCCGTTGTGATTGTCCGTTGTGCATGGTGAATGTGCTGAGGAAGGTGATGGGAGTGTGTGTGTGTGTTTGCGATGGTTGGTGTTGTTGTTGTGGTTGAGCGTGGTTTGTTTGCGCAATTGAGTGCTTGGGTGCATGTGTTGTGGACTCTGTTGGGTGGCAAGTGTTGTGAGTTTGCGTTGGGTGACGGATGATTGTAGCTGACCCGCTCACACACTCATATGCCTCACGCGCTCACACAAGAGTGTACTGTACTATTGTGGATGATGATGATGAAGATGCGCTGTATATGTGATGATGATGATGCGCTGCATACGTTTGGTTTGTGTTGCTTTTTGTGTTTTGTTGCTCTTGGGATGACGTGGCATGACGTTGCGGCTGAATGCGCAACTACAACTTTGTTGCTGCGTGGAACGTGTGACTGAACAGCAAGTACGTTGACTCGCAGCCTGCACATGCGTTGATGTTTGTTGGTGTTTGTGTTGTGATTGTCCGCTGTGTCCGTTGTACATGGTGTTGTGCTGAGGAAGGTGATGGGAGTGTGTGGTGTGTGTTTGTGATGGTTGGTGTTGTTGTTGTGGTTGAGCGAGGTTTGTTTGCGCAATTGAGTACTTGGGTGCATGTGTTGTGGACTCTGTTGGGTGACAAGTGTTGTGAGTTTGCGTTGAGTGACGGATGCTTGTAGCTGACCCGCTCACACACTCATATACTCACGCGCTCACACGAGCGTGAACTGTATTATTGACAATGATGCGCTGAATACGTTTGGTTTGTGGTGGTTTCGTGTGATTCACACTTTCCTTATGTTCAATCAATGCTCGCCTTCCACTCTTTCGCAGTGACGCGTACATCGACGCCCTTGCTGTTGCCCTCAAGTCCAACCACCGCCTGCAGACCCTGGAGTACGTTCACTCTGCCCTATGCGCTTTCAAGCATGGCATGTCGTTTTGCCATTGGCTTGCATTCGGGGACATGTCACATCAACCATTTCTTCTCACAATCTAGTTCTTTGTTCTACGTCCTGCAGTTTGAGCCGAGTTTGGATGACTGCCGACCACGCCATCACCATCGCCAATGCGCTCGATCCCCATCGCAACATCACCGTCAAGTTGTACGTTGATTATCCCGTTTGATACGTGCAATGTATTTCGACATAAGCCCCCGCCAAGCCGAGCGACTGCGTGACGATGTTGCTGCCTGAGCCCACACCACTCTTGCCGTTTGCCTCAATGCTGTTGTATTAGTCGCGACAGGGACGAAGATGCGAGACACGCGTTTGACAAGCGCATGAGCGAGCGCCGCCAGCAAAACACGCCGCAACCTTCCCACCCGAAATACGACGCAGTCGCTCCCCCGTCTTCGCCAGGCTCATCGTCCAAGCCGTCGGTGCGTTGTCGCTCTCCAGCCGCACTTGACCTGTATTGCTCTTCCATTGTGCCCACAATCTCACACGTTTCACGCATTCACCTTCAACATTGTATTTTCATACCAGTCGGAGATTGCTGCGCTCAAGAAGAAGCTGCAAGAGAAAGGTGAGCAACCACCACCGTGCTTCGATACACACTTTCTGTGCGTCAGCCTGTCTCATGTTTCCACGCCACGCCACACGACACGGTGTACCTGGGCACGACACAGATGCAGAACTCAGCGCGGTCCAACAAGCAAACGCAAAGCTGAAGCAGGCAAAGAATGCGCTGCAGAAGAAGAACGGCAGCCTCAGCAAGCAGACTGCAAGTCTACAACAGAAGAACACGAAGTTGCACCAGCAAGTCTCGAGCCTGCAGCAGAACCTCCAGTCAGTCCAGCAGCAACTCGCGTCCAAGACATCCTCCCTCAATGATGCAGGTGAGTGGATGCGATTGCCAACGTTTCCACCTGCACCTATCCTCTCCCCCTCCTTTGTCCCGTGCTCCCCATTCCTCTCACAACATCTTTCAACTCCCTCATCCACCCCACTTCAGACGCGCGCATCGCCGAACTTGAGCAGCAAGTTACTGCGCTGAGTGAATCTCTCAGCAACTCTGAAGACATCGTCAAGAACTTTGGTAATGTTGTGCGTGACTGTTGACAGCGCGGTGCAGGTGTTTACTCTCTGCTCTCTTTTTGGTTTTCTCAGTTGCTTTCCTCCTCACTCCAACCCCATCTCTTCTTCTTGTGTGCCAGAATCGCATTCACAACAGTTGGCACAGGAGAACGCCTTCTTCAAGACACGCGTAGAACTCAAGGACAACTGGGAAGAGCAACTCGGTCAGTGCAGTTCTGTTGGTGGTGTCGAATTACACAACGTCCATTTCACTTACGTTGGTTGTGTTTGAAATCTGCAACCCACGCGGTTCTCGCCTTCATCGCCTCATCGTCTGCATACCACCTCTTGCGTCTGCATACAGAGGGCGTGTTGAACCTGAACATCCCGTCGTCCCGTTTTGTGGGAAAAGTGCGAGTTTTCGACATCAACGGCAAGCAAGTTGGTGGCGCCTTTGGTTCTCTCTTCAAGGCAGAGCTGGCAGGACAGCCGGTTGCTCTCAAGCAAACCCCAGTGCAGAATCGCCCTCGCCTCCCCGAGATCATTGCATGCGTTGCCGGGTCTGAGGACATTCCAGACCACTTGAAGCAGCTGCGACGCGAGGCGCTCATCCTGCTCTCCCTCCGTCATCCCAACATTGTGCACTTCCTTGGCCTCACCCACGATGAGCAAAGCCAGACGCTGGCCTTTGTGCTGAGTTGGGCCGAGAACGGGTCCCTCTACGACTTGTTGCACGTGAAGAAGCAACCGCTTGATGGGCCAACCCGCCTGCGCATTGCTTTCGAGGTGGCATGTGCCATGGCTTTCCTGCACGCCCACAACGTCGTGCACCGCGACCTCAAGTCGCCCAACGTGCTGCTGGACGCATCACTCTCCGCCAAGGTGACGGACTTTGGCCTGAGCACCTTCAAGTCGGCAGACAAGTCCGTGCTGACACATGGTGGTGGCACACCGCTGTGGGCATCGCCGGAACAGCTGTTGGAGGGACAGGAGCTCCGCATGGACACGGACGTGTTTTCCTTTGCCGTTCTCGTGTGGGAGCTGTTCCTCAACATCAAACCATGGCACCACGGCAAATACGCTGCTCTGGGTGGCGCGAACATCTCCACAATTGCCAGAGCGTATGAGAAGGGCAGATACCTTCCACTCGACGTTGAGGTTGATGGTCGCAGGCTGAGCGATGCGGTGCAGCAGGTGCTTGGCCAGTGCTTTGATGTGAGCGGTAATCGACCTTCCTTTGTTCAGCTGCAAGGCACGCTGGGTGGGCAGTACACAGCCGCCAAAGAACAGCATGCAGTTGATATGGAACAGCAACACGAGCAGCTGCACGGTCCTGCCAATGCGGCGTGGAAGTGGCAGCCGGACGTCCTCGAACCACTGCAGTCGTTCATGGTGACTCATCCAACACGCGCGTCCGTGCGCATTGCTGCGGTTGGCGCTGCCCACGACAAGGGCATCGCCATCGCCAAACAGGTGAGATCGTGTGTGTGTGTGTGTGTGTGTGTGTGTGTGTGTGTGTGCGCGCGTATTCGTGTGAAGCAATGGGTTGCTGCGACATGTTAATCACGCCCCTTCATCCCATCCCTTCATCACTCCCTTTCACACTCACCGGTCACCCACTCTTCTCTTGTCTCCCACCCCACAACCACACGACAGATGATCACGGAAGCTGGCGGCCGCTCAAGTGATGAAGCAACAGCAGCTCCTCTGCAGCCCTTTGGCCCCCGATCTTGGGACTTCCAGTTGATACCTTCCACTCGACGTTGAGGTTGATGGTCGCAGGCTGAGCGATGCGGTGCAGCAGGTGCTTGGCCAGTGCTTTGATGTGAGCGGTAATCGACCTTCCTTTGTTCAGCTGCAAGGCACGCTGGGTGGGCAGTACACAGCCGCCAAAGAACAGCATGCAGTTGATATGGAACAGCAACACGAGCAGCTGCACGGTCCTGCCAATGCGGCGTGGAAGTGGCAGCCGGACGTCCTCGAACCACTGCAGTCGTTCATGGTGACTCATCCAACACGCGCGTCCGTGCGCATTGCTGCGGTTGGCGCTGCCCACGACAAGGGCATCGCCATCGCCAAACAGGTGAGATCGTGTGTGTGTGTGTGTGTGTGTGTGTGTGTGTGTGTGTGCGCGCGTATTCGTGTGAAGCAATGGGTTGCTGCGACATGTTAATCACGCCCCTTCATCCCATCCCTTCATCACTCCCTTTCACACTCACCGGTCACCCACTCTTCTCTTGTCTCCCACCCCACAACCACACGACAGATGATCACGGAAGCTGGCGGCCGCTCAAGTGATGAAGCAACAGCAGCTCCTCTGCAGCCCTTTGGCAAGGCTGTAACTGGTGTCGTTGTTGTGCAGTGCAGCCAGAAGAACGCTGCCTTCAACGGCGCAGTTCACCGCAACCAGACCCGTTATCTTGGCCACATGAGCAGCGCCAACCACCCGTTCCATCCCAAGTACAAGATCGATACGGCAACGGGTGCGCCCACCAACGCCGAGGAGGCTGCTGTCCTTGCTCAAGTCACTCTCCACCCTGCTGGCGCTTCATCGTACAAGGTGCTGGACCAGGCCATGATGCAGCCCGATGTGCATCTTCGCCTGCAGCGCGTGTTCCACGGCGTGCCGTCATTCAAAGTTGCTATGAGCATCCTGGGCGGCGATTTCGCACAGCTGCAGAAGACTGACAATGGCTGGTACGGTGCTGGCTTCTACTTTACGCACGACCTCGACTATGCTCTCGAGTACACGAAGAAGTGTAAGGATGTGCCGCCTGAGCTGCAGCACCTGAATTTGCCTGCAGGCAAGCAGTTCCGGGTGGTCCTGGTGTGTGACGTGCAGTATGGCAACCCATACCCAGTGCCGGACGCTGTCACCTTTAACGGCAAGCCGCTCGTTGGCGGACACGACGCCCATGTTGCCGTCGTCGATTTCAGCACCGGCAGCAAGGCTGACGCATTCCCCCTCGCACCCACAGAATGGGCCAGCAAGCGCACAGCCGCCGAGATTGTGATCAACGACCCGTCCTGTGTCCTCGTGCGCGGCATCCTCGTGTTTGAGGCCTGAACGCAACAGCCCGCCACCCGTGCGCCAACAAGGGTGGTGGTGTTGCGTCACTGGTTCGGTGTTACATCTAGGCGTCTCGTCTCGTCATCCCCCTCCTTCACACTCTCAGTTCACGCTTGCCATTGCTGTATCATGGCAGATTGTTGCTTTGTTGCTTTGTCGCTTCCTTGTTCCATGGTGCTGGATAGTCTTCTGCCATTCTGCTGCGTTTGTTGACGGTACAACATTTTTGCAAGCTTCCATTCTTTCCTTTCGTTGCGCAGGCACGAGCACACCGGCTCTTGTTGTATTTCTTTGTTCTTGTGAGGAGACACGGCAAGTGCCCGCCTTGTCAGTTTACGGTGCTATCAACTTTCCTCTGCAGTGCGTGTAGATTCTTCGTCATCCTGTCGTGTGCCTTTGTCGGTCCTTTCACGTGTTGGCACGTTACAGCTGCCTTTGGTTCACCGTTTCCTCCCAAGCACACTTGTTTCTGTTTGGTGGTCCAGTGGTCCTTCCCGTTCCCCCTCCACTTTTCGTCCTTCCCGCTTTTCGTCCCCCGACCATGCGCCCGTTGTTTTGCCCTTCCATACTGAATGTCGCCTTTCCGTCGTCGCTTGTCCTCCCCCACAGCCTTCATTCACCTTTCTCCTCCCCGCCCGTTACGCTCTGTTCCATCTCTGGTCATACAATACAGCGTTCCCCCGAAACTGCGAAACTGTAGCGCTGTTGTGCAGCGCAACGAAGGAGGTGTTGGAACTTCGGTGGGATTCGATTAATGCAAACGCAAGAAAAAGGCAGGTAAGGCATCCAAGGCGGTGCGTTGGGGCAGCGGACAGTAAGAAAGGGGGTTGTAACAAGAAAAGGAAGTAACTGGCAAACATGGCGTGGCAGCAGCAACGAAAATCACCACCGCACTCCAGTACACGTCCCACACGCAACATAGGATCAGAGTTGGTGGCGCAGGTTTGCGTCGAGGAGATGGCCGAAGACGCCGTTGTATGGGTGCACCTTGTTGGCGGTGCCGCCGCTAGTGTTGGTGATGGGCCGGCCTTCGTTTGCCCACTTGAAGATGGAGCCCTCCAAGTTGTAGCAGTCTTTGGGGTCCACTTTACACGCGTTGTCCTTGCCCTCTTGCGTCGTTGCCGTGGAATCTGTGGGGGCGGCGGCCTGCGTTGATGCTTCGGCAAGCATCTGTGCCAGTTTACTTGACCTGTACCCGACGCTGCAGTAGCAGACGACTGGCGTTCCAGGCTTGTACCCCTTTTCCCTCAGCGCTTCCTGTGCTTGCTCTGTGTGTGTGTGTGTGTGTGTGTGTGTGTGTGTGTGTGTGTGTGTGTGTGTGTGTGTGTGTGTGTGCGTGTGTGTGTGTGTGAGGGCGAAGTTGAAGGGAAAGGCGACCCCAAGGGCATCGCTCCAAATCCTGCAACCTACTCTCTCCGTTTTCACCCAAGCACATACCCACAACCAATCACACACACACACACACTCACCAACGTTGTCTGGATCTACGCGAATGGCATCTGGAAGATGGCTGATGGCGTACTCTTCTTCTGGCCGAACGTCAAGCAGGATGCGCTTCTTCTTGTCCAATTGATCCAGCTCGTCCGTCTGCATCTGTTGTGAGGATGCATGGTGTGTGTATGTGTGTGTGTGTGAGTGAGTGAGTGTGTGAGTGAGTGAGTGTGTGTGTGTGTGTGCGTGTGTGTGTGTTGTGTTTGCCACACGCTGTCATTTGCGTTGTTGCCCTTGCAAGTAAACAGCACCTTCTCGTTTCCCCCGCCGCCTTTGCTACTCCTTTCTCATTCATTTTGCAGCAAAACAAACCTGCTGCACTGTCGGGAACTTGCGGCGCAGCAGCCACGTCGTCGCAGACATCATCATCGCGATCTGTGATGTGGTTGCGGAGTTGTTGTGTGAGTTGCTTCGTGTCTTCTCTTCCTCCTGCCTGCTGTTCCTCTTCTCTCTTGCCTTGAAATGTAGATTTTTGCCGGGCAGCGTCCATAATCCTCCCAATTCGTTGGCGACGAACAAGCCGAAAAACCGTCTGTCTGTCTGCCACCACAAAACAACAAACAAGCCCACCACCGACCATGGCGACGCCGAGGGTGGCGGATGGCAAATACACCGAGACCATCTATGGCATGGTGCGAGTACTTTCCTGCTCGCACACTTGTGTGTGCGTGTGTGTGCATGTGTGTTCATGTGCGTGTTTTTTGACGATTCGTGGCTGTTGTTGGGCACCACAACCACTCCTCTCACTCCACAAATGACATCACCACACAGATCAAGGAGAAGCAGTACCAGCAGGCTGCCAAGATCCTGCAGGTTCAGCTGCACAACCACCCAAACGTAAGCTTCCAAGGCATTCTGCACTTCACTACTGTCTTGTGCTTCCTGTTGTCTGTACTGCGAACATTTGGGGGTCTACTCACAGCATCTTCTTGCCTTATCCACGCCACCGCAGTCACAAGCAGCGCTGTCGTTGTTGGCATACTGCTACTTTCACATGCAAGACTTTTACGGCGCCGCAGAATGGTGGGTAGAACATGTATGTGTGTGCATGTGTACTGCTGTTCGTGTGTGTGTGTGCGTGCGTTCGCGAGAAGGCCATTGTATGTATGTGTGCGTACATGCGTCTTGCTCACCTTGCTTCGCCTTGGTGAACTTAATTTGCAGTTACGAGAGGCTGTCCAACGAGTTTCCCGAGTATGACTGCTACCGCCTCTATCACGCACAGGTGTGGCACCACGTTTACGTGCGTCAAGAGTCGTGTGTACCTTCTTCTTCCCCTCAGCACACGCCACTGCACCACACTCACGCATCCGCTGTCCTCTCTTCCAGGCGCTGTACAAAGCGTGCCTGTATGATGAGGCCATGGACGTGGTTGTCAAGCTCGATAACCCAGACCTGCACACAGAGATCATGAAGCTACAGGTACGTGTATGTGTGTGTGTGTGTGTGTGTGCTGAATTGTGAATGTGTATCTTCGCCGTTTGTGATCCCCAGTCCCCGTGCACTTGCCTCTCCCTTGAGCTCACATTTCGCGTACGCGACTTTCAGGCTGCTATTGCTCACGGCAAGGAGGATCTTGCAGCAGCACGGTGAGACGCGTGGCGCTGGTCGCGTGCTACTCACTATTGCTTGCTGGGGACGTGCCAACTTGTATCGCCCTGTGTATCAAGCACACGTCATGGTGTTCATTCCTGTAACACTCCTCGCACTTTTGCTTGCTTACACCATGTATACGTGTGAACATCAGGTCGATGGTTGAACAGTGCCCGCCGGATGATGTCGACACAGTGGTCAACGAGGTTCGAGCACAGCCGTGTCATATTGTATCTCGTGCACGAGTGCCTTCGACAATTGGGTTCCCAACGCCTCTTTTTCTAACCTTTTCACCGCACACACACACATATACAAATGATAGGGTTGCCTGCTTGTTGCGGAGAGCCGGTTTGAGGAAGCGCGGGAGAAGTTTCAGCAGGCCATCAACCTCGCAGGTAGTACTACACGTGCATTGGCCGCTGAAGACCCCATGATGTCATGAGCCTACCTTCTTTCCAAACCCATCCGTTGACCTCCTTCACTTGCCTTCCACCGTCACTACCAGGCTACCAGCCGCAGCTGTCGTACAACATCGCCCTCTGCCACTACCGCCTCAAGCAATACGCGCAGGTGAGCACACAGTCGCTGTAACACCACACACATGCCCTGCACGCTGCACTGGTTGATCCCTCCTCACACTGCAGTCGCATGCGTCCCGTCTCCACCTCGCCACCGCCACATGACTCGTCCTTATACGCTCAACACACCTCCACAACAACACCACCACATTGCATCCGCTACACACACACACACACACACACACACACACACACACACACACACACACACACACACACATACACGATTCCTCGTCCCGCTCCCCACTTCTCCACGTGCATCCCCCCCCCTGGGGCAGGCCTTGAAACACATTGCGGACATTATTGAGCGCGGCATTCGCGAGCATCCGGAGCTGTCGGTCGGAATGGCGACAGAGGGCATTGAGGTCCGCAGCGTCGGAAACACAAAGGTGTGCCACGTCCTTGTGGTGTGTGTGTATTTGTATTTGTGTTTGCACACCCTTGTTTGTATGTGCGTGCGCATCTTCACGTGCGCCATTGTGCTTCCTTCTTGCGCCTGTTCCCTGTCCTTCCTGCCATTCCACCTCCGCTTACCATTGAGGATATGTGTTTCCTGTGTGTTCAGGTGCTGCACGACACGGCGCTGATTGAAGCGTTCAACCTCAAGGCCGCCATCGAATACGACCTCAGAAACGGTACACGCACCCCGACCTCGCACACCATCCCTCTTGCTCCTCCTTCCACCCTGTACCGCCTCATACTACAAACAATAACACACACACACACACACACACACACACACACACACACACACACACACACACACACACACACACACACACACACGCACGCACGCACACACACACATACACATACACACACATGCACACACACAAGAACAAACACGCTTCCTTCCTCCCTCACGCTGCCATCTCCCACTCCCAATACCTACCCCCCCCTCTCAAATCGCCAGTTGACGCTGCGTGCGAGGCGCTGACGGACATGCCGCCGCGCCTGGACGAAGAACTCGACGCGGTCTCGCTGCACAACCAGGCGCTCATGAACATGGAGGACGACCCGGAGGCAGGGTTTGAGAAGCTCCAGTTCCTGCTGCAGCAGAACCCGTGCCCGCCAGGTACACGTGGTGGTAGTGGTGGTGGTGTTGGTGGTGGTGGTGGTGTTGGTGGTGGTGTTGGTGGTGGTGACTGGGCTGGCTGTAGTTGCAGTCTGTTGTGTTGTCAACATCGCCTTGCATTCTGTCACGTCATCACCTTGCATTGTGCTCCACCACCACTGCGATTACCATTGGTACCACCCTCCCTTTGTGCGCCATGTCCTAACTCCACCTCTCCATCCTCGTCCTTTGCTGCGTCGTGCTGCGTAGAGACGTTTGGCAATCTCCTGCTGCTGTACTGCAAGTACGAGCACTTTGATCTCGCCGCAGATGTCATGGCAGAAAACTCCGCTCTCACATACAAACACCTCTCAAGGGTATGGCCACGCGCTCGTTTGTGTTTGTTTGTTTTGTGTGTGTGTGTGTGTGTGTGTGTGTGCATGTGTGTGTGTGTGCTTATGTGCATGTATACATGTGCTTATGTGTGCTTGTGTGTGTGTGTGCTTTTGTATGAGTTATCAGCCTGTGTTCGCTTCGCTCAGCCTCATTTCACACCTTCTTTCACCATGATCACCGCACCAACAAGCAATTTCCACTCACCCTCCCCCCTTCACCGCTTTTGTGCTGTCTTCCCTCCTCCACACTCCCCCTTTCCCCCCTTCCCCCTCACCTCCACCCCAACCTGCAGTACCTGTATGAGTTTCTTGATGCGACCATCACACGCCAGGCGTCGCCAGAGGAGGCGTTCCGGCGGTTCGACGATATGGCCGTCAAGCACACGGAGAAGCTGCGCACGCTGACGCGGCAGGTGCAGGAGGCCCGCCAGCAGTCGGACGACGATGCTGTCAAGCGCCACGTCAACGCCTACGATGACGCCATTGAGCGGTACATCCCCGTGCTCATGGCGCAGGCCAAGATCTACTGGGACATGAAGAACTACGTGCAGGTCGAGAAGGTGAGGCGGAGGTACTTGGTGCTGTGTGTGTGTGTGTTGGATGTTTGCGAACACCACTGCGCATCGTTCGTGTGGATCTCCATCATCATCATCATCATCATCATCATCATCATCATCATCATCATCATCATCATCATCATCATCATCATCATCATCATCATCATCATCATCATCATCATCATCATCATCATCATCATCATCGTCATCATCATCATCATCATCATCATCATCATCATCATCATCATCATCATCATCATCATCATCATCATCATCATCGTTTCGCAGCCCCCCCCCCACATATCCATCTCACCCCATCCACACCACTACACCCCCCCCCACCCCCGAATTGCAGATTTTCCGCAAGTCTGTTGAGTTCTGCAACGAGCACGACGTGTGGAAGCTGAATGTGGCGCACGTGCTGTTTGCGCAGGCCAAGTACAAGGAGGCCGTGGGCTTCTACTAGCCCATTGTGCATAAAAACCTGGAAAATCTTCTCGACATTTCCGCCGTCATTGTCGCCCACCTCTGTGTCGCCTACATCGGGAACAGCCGGAACGAAAACGTGCGTACACATGCTTGTGGTGTGTGTGTGTGTGTGTGTGTGTGTGTGTGTGTGTGTGTGCGTGCGTGCGTGCGTGCGTGTGTGTGTGTGTGCGTTTGACGCGCGTTGTTGTCACCGTACTTGTAGCCCCTCCACCTTCCTCACGTTTGCCTCACTCTCGCCCTCTCCCCTCCCCGACTAGGCTGAGGAGCTGATGCGCAAGTTGGAGCGCGAGGAGGAGAACTCCATGTACGAAGATCCGGACAGGAAGGTGTACCACCTGTGCATCGTCAACCTTGTCATCGGCACCCTCTATTGCGCAAAGGGCAACTTCCAGGTGCGCACCTTTCACCGTGCGATGCACGACGGTTGGACGGTCGAACTGTGACACGTTCGCGGCAGGAAAATACACACACATGACCATACAGACAGACAAACCAACACAAACAAACACACACACACACATACGCACACACACACATGACCATACAGACAGACAAACAAACACAAACAAACAAACACACAAACACACACACACACACACACACACACACACACACACACACACACACACACACACACACACACACACACACACACACACACACACACACACGACACTCACGTTCTCCTCTCCTCCTCCTTGCTCTGCCTGCCAGTTTGGCATTTCGCGGGTGATCAAGAGCCTGGAGCCGTACGACAAGAAGCTTGGATGGGAGACGTGGTCTTACGCAAAGCGCTGCTTCCTCGCCCTCACAGAGGGAATGGTGTGTCCCGCCAGCAACCCACACACGCGTCTTGCGTGTTGTGTTCTGTTGCACCTGCTGTTATGGTTGTACCTGTGCTCGTGCTTGTACTTGAGCTTTTGTGCTTGTACTCACGTACACACCTGTGCGTGTGTGATTTCAAAATGGACGTGTTTACAACAGGCCAAGCAGATGATCACCCTGCCGGATCCCGTCTCCATGGACATTGTGGACTTTTTCGACGCATGTGAAGGTACGCATGTGTGTGTGTGTTTGTGTGCATGTGTTTGTGCGTTTGTGTGTCGTTGTTTCGAGTCATTGTGTTCGTGCTGTTTCACACTTTCTGACGTCCACAATCAGCATGATATTGTTTTTAGTTGTTGTACCCTACCATTACCAAGCAATGCCTTCCATCCTGATCTCCTTTTCCTGACCCCCTGTTCTCGCTTCACCCAACAACATATCAGAGCACGGGCGCGTGATCCCAACGCTGGACCAGCTGCCGCTGTTCTCGGACGAGCCCATTGATCTTGGCCGCCACACGATCGCCTTTGAGGCGCGGTATCTCAAGGACCTCTTCCAACGCGTCCTCCGCACCTGATGACACCACCACACATGTCCCCTGCATCTGCCTGGCGCCTGCGTTCCTTCTCTCCTTCTTCTCCTCTTCTCTTCTCCTTTTCTGCTCGCTCGCTCGCGCGTCCGCTCCGATGCTCGCATGTGAGTTGTTCTTCGTTCCAGACAAATTAAAAACTTTTCGATGCATCCACCTCGAATTCCGTGCACGAATAACACAATGCGTGCGCCCACGTTTAGGCTGAATTCAGTCGCGTTTCGGCGGATAGCTCAACTTTCGCTACGACTCTCTCCCAAACGAGGGAAAAAAGGCACAGCAGTTTTGACCGCTGCTATTGTCTCTTTGTTTGGGTGGTTGCTCCAGGACGACCAAGCCACACACACGCACACTTTCCACCACCCTCCACGTCTCCAACAGCCAAAACGACCGACCGACCCACCAATGTCATCGACGGACTACAAGCTGCTCGTCCCTGAGGACGAAGCGGGCGCCCAGCTGGCAGCAGAGGAGGAAGACGACGTTGTTGTGCCGCTGACAACAGCGTCTTCTTCAGGCAGCGTGCTGAGCCGGACGCAGAAGTGGCTTCTGGTTGGCGTGGTTGTTGTGGCGCTGGTGGTGGCTGTTGCCGTGCCGGTTGCTTTGCGCGAGCACAAGTATGAGGACGGCGCGTCCGTTGCTGTCGTGACGCACGAGATTAACGAGGTCGACGTGCGCGAGGTTGACTACAACAGCCACTTGGAGGAAGACTCCTTTGCAAACTACATGGACCTGGACGAGATGCAAAGCCTGCTGGAGCAAGCTGACGCCGAAGAAGATGAGCAAGAAGAGCAAGGGATCAACGGCGACAGCAACAACAGCAACAACACAACACGATCTCGCCGTAGCCTTGTGTGCCAAAACAACTGGCCCAGGGACACCTTGCTTGAGCTGGCGGGCTTCTCCGACCGCGTGTACAACTGGCAGAACTTCCGCAACCAGCCCGAGGACGTGGCAACGAACCACTTGGCATCCTTTCGAGTGCGCGCGCTCGTGTTTGCCGTGGGCACCTTCCAGCACGGCTGGCTGCGTGACCACGTCCGCGTGCGGCCGAACTCTGCTCGTGTGCTTACCTTCATGGGCACACGCTTCACCGATGTTGGTGACTGGGCGCAGAACTTCCAGATGTTCTGCAGTAACACGCCGGCCTCGTACATGCAGCAGGCCCGCGACATTGTCACCCGTGCCCGCGCAGCCATGCCCGACGCCCGCATCGTCATGTTCACCGGCCACAGCCTCGGCGGGGCGCTGGCTGGCGTGCAGGCTGCGGAAGGCCGCGGCTGTGCCGTCGGCTTCAACAGCCCGCCGCTGTCTGCCATTGCTCGCCGCACCAGCAACATGATTGTGTACCGCATCGACACGGACATTGTGTCGCTGCCATTTGACCGCAGCAATCCCATTTGGCAGCGCGTGAGCGCCGCCACCGATCGGGTAGGCATTCGTTGCAACCACCAGCAGCACCTTGGCCCCGTGGTCACCTTGCCCATGCCGCAGTCGTTCAGCTTTGGGCGCTTCACGCTCGACGTGTTCACCCGAGGTGCTGATGCGCTCGTCTCAACCGCCTTCTCCCTCAACTCGCCCGACTGGATCCAGTTCCTCAGGGACACTCACCGGGCCCACGCCATCCGCACGGTGGAGATGGCGATTCGCGGCGGGAACCAGCGCAGCTGGTGGTGCCGCAACATCCGCATTGGCTGCTGATGCCCGCGTGCCGCTGATGGTTCTCGTGTTGGTGCTCGTGTGCATTCGTGCTGGCCAAAGTCCACCATGCGATGTATCGCCGCATCACGACCACAGCGCCCACAATTGCAACGGGCCAGTTGAGCGGCTCCTCCCCTGGTTTCACGTCCACCGTGCGCTTCCCTTTCTTCTCCTGCGTTAACCATCATGTCACGTTCTTCTATCGTGGGCCTTTCATTCTTCCTCTTTTGCTCCCAGCAGTATTTTCAACCATGGTAAAGTCTGTTCCGACTTCTTACCGTCAGTCTGCTGCACGGTTGAGCTTGTTCGTTGGCGCCCCTCTTTGCGTATCTCATCTCCCCCCTCTGGCGCCCCGCTTCGGGCCCTCTACTGCTTCATGACACCTTCTTTTGAGTCGAGTTATCACAACCACCTTCTGATCCCTCACCGTTTATTGCCTTCATCACTGGCTTGCTTGCTTGCTTGGGTGTGCTTTGTTCCATGATCGACTTGATTCCGTAGTACTTGCACTGTTCCTCCTTTCTGATGTGTGTATGCCATGCCCGTGAATGGCATTGCCGTGTCACACTGTCATCAAATCACCCAACAACACATCACACCACAACACGCCCACGGTCAACGCAAATCCGGAAACGAGACAACAACAACGATGATGAGGTGTTGTGGTCGTGTGGTGGCACGCGGCATGGCTGCACATGGCCGCTTGTCGCTCGCTGCGATCGCTGCTGCCAGGAGAGGTCGCGTGCATGCGTTGCGTCGCAGCGTCGTTACACCGCCCTTGAACCGTTTCACGGCTCGGTTGCACGTTGCGCGTGGGGTGCGTGCGGATGATGCCAACAACAACGACAGTAGCGACCACGTGACGGCCATCAAGAATGACCAGCACAGGCTGCCGGTTCAATGCGCCGGCTGCGGCGTTGCACTGCAAACACAGCAACCAGGCGGCACAGGTGTGGATGCGCGCGCGCGCGTGTGTGTGTGTGTGTGTGTGTGATGTGTGTGTGTGTGATGTGTGTGTGTGTGTGTGTGTGTGTGTGCGTGTGTGTGTGCTGTGATGTGATGTGATGTGTGCGCGCAATGGACTACCGCCTGCCATGCTTCCATCGCGCTCACGTCCACATGGCATCAACACACCATGACAGGATACGTTAACCCAAACGTTGTGGAGCGATGGCAACAGCAAGGTGCGAGTGATCGAGTGTGTGTGTGTGTCTGTGTGTGTGCGCGCGCGTGTGTGCGTGTGTGTCTGTGCGTGTCTGTGATGCATACAGACACGGACACACACACACACACACACACACACACACACACACACACACACACACACACAGACACACACACGACA